TTTGCTATTTTTTTTTTTTTTAAAGAAAAACCTCTAGTACTGTACTCCACATGTTTTTGCAATCAGTAACTATGCAGATAAAGTTCTTTCTATTCCACTTAGCACAATTTGAAATTATCAGCAAGTGAAGTATATTCAACTGCTTATCTACAGAGAGGCATGTAGGACTCCAATTAAGTTTACACGGATAAATGCAGATTTGTGTTTGCAGACATCAAGATGACAGAAGCTTAATACTGTAAAAAGGCTAATCAACACTGAATATGTTTAGTGTCAGTAAATATTTATAGTGAAAACACTGCCTATGGTTTTGTGCCTTGGCATTCCAAGTTCTGATTTTTAAGTGAGTAAAAATGTGGTGTGAATTCCTAGTCATAAACAAGGTATAAAATTCTTATTTTCTATAAAATTAATTTTATTGTCTTTTTCTTCTTTGGGTTTTCTTGAGAAGGCAGGTTGGGAGTTAAGCTACAGTTTGGAAGCTAATAAAAAAGCTGGCATATTTAGCAAGGTTTTAAGGCAAGTATAATCCAGAGAAAGGGGAAGGGAAGGAGGCAAGCTAGAGACAGGCAGTATGGGGAGTAATTTCTTCTTCTTCTGATTTTATTGTTTTAATGAGGCCTTCATCAAATAGTGGTTACTAATCAGCTCTGTTCAACAATGTGATTATTTAGTGTGCTCATGTATTCATTAGGCAATAACTACAATTTAACTGGAAAATTAATTGAGCCTCAAGAATGTGTGTTATATATAAAACACACAAATATATAACTTTTTATTTCATTAGAACTCCAGAAGATAATTGCTAGTTTGCTCTCTTCTACAGATGTATTCTGGAATGTAGTGTCAAAATTGGAATCCAAGAAGTACATCTTAAATTGAACTTTTATTGATGTAATATTGTATGAACAATACAGCCAAGTGAAATAAAAAAGTAGAGGTATGAGGAACATTATAATTTTTAAATTATATTTTGACTTGTAGAAAAGAAGAATGTAACTGTAACAGCATCAGTCTTAAGTGTGAAGAAGAAAAAATGGTGCTGAAGTGAAATTTTGGTTTTTTTTTGGAAGGGGAATAAATTGATAAAGTTTAGGATTTTGTTTGTTTGCTGGAAAAGTCATGGCTTGTCATGTTAACAAATGTGATTTTGTTCCTAGCAGACTGCAGACCTGATAAAGAAAAATCCCCTGAAAACCCCTGAAACATAAATACAATATATTTCAGTTTAGTGTCTAACTTTGCATGAAATAAGCACTGCCTGTTAGCCTCTGTTTGATCCTGTGAGAGTGTAGGGCTAATGTCTGGCCAGTGTTTTGGAAGCAGCAGGTAGTCAGGAGCAAGCTGCTCTAGGGGTCCATATTTCTGTAGCCTAGCAGTTACTCACACACAGATGGAGACCTTATGAACTTTGACAGAGGTCACGCTAAATTGCAAATCTAAAACTTCTAGACTTCTAAAGGATTACACTGGTACTTTTTTTTTTTTTTTTTAAAGCCATACAATTGGGAACATCACTAATGGTATCAACTCAGTTGTGAGAAGTAGATCAGCCACGCAGTCAGTGCTCTCATAATGATTATGGAGACTGGCAATGATAGCCTTTCATGATACTTTAAAGGGTAGCTGTTGCATATTAACATTTTAATTTACCTATATAAAATACCTATGTTAGATTGCTTTCCAAACACCTAGTCTTGTCTGCTCTGTTAACTTGCTAAAGGAATTGTGAAGCTTAAAGCATTGCAGAAGCCGCTGATTCTTCTGATGCATATGAGTTGGAAATAATTAAGATACTCATAGCATTTTTTTGATCTCAAGTCTTTTGGGGCAGTCAGTTGAGACACCAAGCTCTCTGTCAGCTGTCATCAGCCATCATCTCACTAGGGATCTTATAGCAGTTTAGGAAAGAAAAACATGAGATGATCTGGTTACATGTAGTAGTGTGTTTAAATCTGGGATTCAGTCAAAGTCAGGGAGCATTGAAGAGCTCCTCTTTTGTCTTCCAATTACACTTCTGAAGCTCTACTTAACAGATGAAAATTTCTGTGATATTTCAATTTACTATTCAGATGGGAAAATTTGGTGGGATTTTGTAGCAAACAAGGACTGTATTTGTTTCCAAGTTAGTAATTTAGCATAGGATTTTAAATTTTTTTTGTTGTTGTTGTTTAGTGGATATGCAATGGGAATTTAATTCAGTATTTATGAAATCAGGGTCCACAAATGGCTATCTAGGTCACAAACAGCAAGGAGGCTGATCCTCTTTTAATCAAATGGACAAATTTTTGTGTTGTCATCATTGATCTGGTTGTGTAATGTGCTACTTTATGGCTCATCAACTGGTCTTTAAAGCTATGACTCCATGATTTAGTAAGGCTGGGTCTGACTCTGTATGTTGAAAGTGGTTTCAGTGATGGCCACACAGAGAGCTTGAAAATTCACACCAGCAGCAGACTGTAGGGGAAAAAAAGCTTTAAAACTGTTTGAACTGGTCTACACATAGAATAACAAGAATGTTATTCATACTTCTAAACTGGAAAAACACAAAGGGAGAAGAAGGAGGAGTTCAAAAGAATCTCCTTGTGGTGACCTTTTAGGTGGACGAGCTGTTGTTTAAGTTGGAAAGAAACGTTCTTGTGTTCAGTGTATAGCCCCACAAATTTGCAGTTGCTGTACTGCTGATGTCTGCTTTGGTGAGATCTGGATAGGGGAAAAAAAATCCAAATAGCTTACTTTTCAGTTGAGAGACATGAGTTTGCAATTCATTGCAAACTCATAACTCTTGTTATTTTAAGCGACAGCTATTAGAAGAAAATGTGCAAATAACTTTCAGAGTCATGTCATCAATGTATTAATCATAACTGGTCAGTAAATGCATCTAAATGTTGTGCTTTACAGGAGTTTTGGGTGCACAGACAAGTTTTTACAAGATAAACTGGTTTCTGATGTGCTCTGCATCCTGTACTTCATTGAGCACACCTAATACCAAACCATGTGACCTGGCAAACGCAGCAAGATTTGGAGTTGCCTGTCCTTCGGGCACTGAGAGGAAAGA